CCGCCTGCAGGAGCAGCTGGGGCAGCTTGGGGGTGGCTGGGGCGCCCTTAGAGGAGCAGCTGGGGCAGGGCGCAGGCAGGTGCCCCACGGAGGGCAGGGGCAGCCACAGCACCCTTGTCCTGTGCTGAGCATGGTGCCCGGGCCCAGGCCACTATGTGCTGAGAACATGGAACCTCAGGGCAGTGAGCCCGAGCCGGACGCCCACAGGCCCCTGGGGTCCCCTGTGCACCTCACTATGTGTGAGCTGAGTGGGGAGAGGTATCCAGCCTCTGGGTGGGCGTACTCTAGGGTGCCCCCTTCCATGCCCGCCTCGGGCCTGGCCTGCCTTCTGCGGCCAGGGCCTCTTGCCCAGGTGTGGACTGCCCAGCTCCGCAGGCCCCTCTCCAGGGCTCCTGACCATTGGACTTCGCAGGCCTCTTCCTCTCTTCTGAGGGTCCCCAAGGCTGGTCAGTACACCCTGTCCTGCGAGCCCTGGCCACTGGCGCAGCCCTGTGCTCTGTCAGTCCTGGCCCCAGTGGAGGGATGGGTCTGGAGCAAGACCAGGCTAGGTTCAAGCATCTGGCGAGGCTGAGGGTCCCTACCTCGAAGTTGGATGACCCTCCTTCCTGTGGGTCCTGTGGCCCCGCCTCCACTAGTTTCTATGTCCACGTGGCCAGTGGTGCCCTCATGCTAGGCCTGCAGCCATACCCTGCCTGGCCTTGTCCCCTTGAGCCCTAGCACTCTAGGTGGCCTCTGGCCATCTTCCTTTCTAGGTCACCTGTGCCTCTCCATCCTCCCCAGTTGGAGAGGACTCTGGTGGTCTCCAGGCTGCCACTTAACGGGCCCCGCCCACTGAGGAGCACCGCCCTCCACTGGCCCCGCCCACACCCCCGCCCCAGCTGCTCCTGTAGGTGGTGCACTGGCCCCGCCCTCAGCAGCCCAGCCCCTCCCTCAGCCCACCTGTGCGGCCTATGGGACCCTGGTCAGGACTGAGGCCCAGAGATCCCCCCTGGGCCATGCTGAAGGGGCCGCCTGGCAGCGGGAAGGCGGGGTGTACTGGGGAGGGCAGCAGCGGTCAGCCCACGCAGGACAGCCCTGCAGTGTGGAGCATCCTGCATCCACGCCAGCCAGAGTGGTGGCCGCAGCCTGGGGCTGCTGAGCACTTGGTGTGTGCCTGGGGCCACCAACCAGTTTTCAGCGTCATTCGATTACGCGTAGCCACACACAGCCCCTGGGTGGCCCGGCTGGTGGCAGTCTTTGAGGTGGTGTTGTAGGCGGAGGGCAGAGTGTGTCCTGCACTGGAGCCAAGTGGTGGGTCCCCAGCCAGGAGCAGGGGTGCAGGCCAAGCACACAGCCCCTGGGAAAGCCACTGTGTTGCAGTGGGCCTGCACGTCCACCTGTAAGTGACCACATGTGCATGACCACGATGGTGACGAATGCACATCTGAGCACCCAGTTAGGCTCTGGGAGGCACCAGGTGGCGGGCACTCTGGCAGGCACCAGCTGGTCCACTCTGGACCTCTGTTTCCTCATCTGCTTTGAACTCCACACTGTCCCTGGAGGTCAGGGTTGGGAGGGCCACGAGATGGCTGGCCGGTCCCTTCCCTGTGCCGTTCAGGGGGGCGGCCCAGCTGACCGGGGACCCCTTGCCTGCTCGCCCGCAGCCTGCCCCTGCGCTTCTGGGTGAACGTGATCAAGAACCCGCAGTTTGTGTTCGACATCCACAAGAACAGCATCACGGACGCCTGTCTGTCCGTCGTGGCCCAGACTTTCATGGACTCCTGCTCCACGTCGGAGCACAAGCTGGGCAAGGACTCGCCCTCCAACAAGCTGCTCTACGCCAAGGACATCCCCAACTACAAGAGCTGGGTGGAGAGGTGGGCAACCAGGCCCTTGGGGGCGGGGCTTGGGCCTTGGGGTGGGGCTTGGCCTTGGGGGAGGGCCTTGGGTCTTGGGGGCGGGGCTTGAGTCTTAGGGGCGGGGCTTGGCCTTGGGGCAGGCCTTGGGGTAGGGCTTGGCTTTGGGGGCGGGGCTTGGGCCTTGAGGGTGGGGCTTGGGCCTGGGGGTGGGGCTTGGGTCTTGGGGGCGGGGCTTGGACTTGGGGCGGGACTTGGGTCTTGGGGGCAGGGCTTGGGCCTTGGGGTAGGTCTTGGGGCGGGGCTTGGCCTTGGGGGAGGGCCTTGGG